CCGTGGCTTTCCTCATGATAGCCAGCCCTGCTTTCTCCAGAGTGTGCTTCTATCTCACTTTTTTCTCTTTTACTCAGCCCAAGCTCGCTCTGCAGAGACAGTTTCTCCCTCACTCTTCACTTTTACTTTTTCAAATAAACTTTGCCACTGCAAAAAAATCAAATTTGCTCAGATATAATTTACAAACAAAAAAATGCACATTAAAAACATATGGCTTGAGGCCGGGGATTTAGCTCAGTGGTTTTGCTGCCTGCTGCATAAGCACAAGGACCTGAGTTCAATCCCCGGTACCAAAAAAGCAAAAAAAAAACCCACAAAAAACATATGGCTTAGGGACTGGGAATTTAGCTCAGTGGCACTAAATCACTGCCTCAGAAGTACAAAGTCCTGAGTTTGATCCCCGGTACAATTAGTGAGTTTTGACAAACGAATATTCCCATATAATCACCACCTCATTCTGTGATAGCTTTCTCATCATCCTAAAAGTTGCCCTAGAAAGTGATGGGTTATAATCAGTCTGCAATACTCCCCCTTTCCTGGGCCACCAATGATCTGATACCAGTCATCTGCCTTAGTTTTGTCTGGTTTACAGTTTCATAGAAATGACATACAACATGGTCTCTTTTATGTTTATCTTTTTTTAGTCAACATATAGTGTTTCTGAAATTTATCCATGTTATTGCAAAGCATTAACTCTATAAAAAAATTGTTGGAGAGTTGGGTGTGGTGGTGCATGCCAGTAATCCCAGCACTCAGACCCAAATAAATAAATAAAATAAAAAATTGATATTAAGTAGAATTCCATTGTGTGAATGTACAGCAGTTGTTTACCTGTTGAAAGACAGTTGGGTCATTAATGGGATTGGCTAGTAGAAATAAAGTAGCTATGAACATGGGGAGCAAACATTTTTGTGTGAGACTGATTTATCTGGGGTAAATATCTAGGAGTGGAATTGCTAGATCACAGAGTAGGTATATGCTTAACTTTATAGGTAAAATTTTCTTCTTTCTTTTGGTTTTTTTTGAGACAAGATCTTGCTATGTAGTCCTGGCTAGCCTCAAACTCATGGTGATCCCCCTGCCTCAGCCTCCTGAGTGCTGGGATTACAGGTCCACCACACCCAGCCAATTTTTTCTTTCTTGTGTGTGTGTGATGTGTGTGTGTGTGGCCAGGGCGTGAACTGAAGGTCTTGCACATCGCAGGCAATCACTCTGCAATCACAGGGTCACATTCCGCTAGGAACATCAGTAGATTAACCCACTGATGAGTACAGCACCCCTTGGTCCAGTCCCCTCTTAGGAGTTTCAGTCCAGGTGACAGTTGAACTTGCCCACCACAATCACCTTCACTCAGAAGGTGTGCAGTTTTGTTGTGTCGGGCAGAGAACTGACTGGCAGGATCACCTCAATCCTGGTTTTATGCTTTGCTGAGATGGATTTGCAGTCAACTCAGGATGCTACAACAAATTGCCTGAGACTGGGTGACATGTAAACAATGGAAATGTATTTTTCACAGTTCTAGATGCTGGGACATCTATGACCCAAGTGCAGCAGATTCAGCAAGTGGTGAGGCCTGCTTCCTGGCTCACAGACCGCTGTCTTGCTGTGTCCTCACATGGCAGAAAGGCCAGCAGCTCTCTGGGGTTGTTTATAAGGGCTCCCATGCCATTCATGAGGGCTCTGCCTCTTGACATCATTACCTTCTGAAGGTCCCATCCCTAATACCTGCTGTTGCAGGACTAATCAATTCTGGGGGGACATAAACATTTCATTCATAATGATGGGTCTATATTTGATTTTGCTGCTTAATCTTGCAGCCTGACCTTTCAAGGCTCCTGAGGGGATACCTGAGGTCTCTCCACTC